CATCACCACAAAGCAATGGGTCACTCATTGTATGGGTTCATGACAATTTAAAACATTCCTGTGGACATCCCTGGATTGTATGATAGAAAAGTCCTTCAGAAGAGTTTAAAGAAGAAACTGCACAGTGGCATGAAGCTGTCACTCCAAGCGTCACCCAAACCTGTTCTGTTCCCCCACTCCCAGTGAGGCAAGCTTGCATACTTGTGTCATTCCTTTCGCTGAACAGCATCAAATGCACACGATGGTGGTAAGAACATGTTCTTCTGGCAGCGATGAGTGAAATACACTCCTGAGGAGCTGAACAATTTAATCCTGGGGAGTGTCTCATCTTTATGTTTATCTGTTTGTTCAGTTGGTTTACACGTGTGTGTTGTTGTTGCTCTCTGACGTGGTTTGTGGGTATCACGGATTTTGCTCCCGTTTGTTTTTTAACCTCACCACTGGGACTTGTTCCCAGCAATTCACCACAACCACACACCACAGCTCTGGAGGCGTTGAAAAAAAATAAAACAAAAAAAAAAAATAGGGCAAAGTTTCTCAAAGCACCCAAATCCTGGCACTGTCTTAGTCCCACAACATCAGCAAGCAACCAAGAAGCTTACCCAGATGTTGGTTCCCAGCTGACTGCCCACCACTGGGGCTTGAGCCCTCTCTAATTAAAATACCCTGCTAAGGGTTTAAATTAACTTTACCCAGCAGCTGGGGTACCTGTGAGCAGGTGTGACAGCTCAGCTGGACATAGTTTGCAGGTTTTTCTTCCAGGCAATGGAAAACTCATGGTCTAAAGTGGGTGATGGAGAGTTGGGTTTCTTTTTTTTTTAGCTCAGGTTTTAATAGCCAACGCTGTTGCCTGAGCTGGAGATTGATACTTCCTGCAGAAGCCAGAGAGGAGAACATCCCACCCCAAATAGTTCTGGCTTGTCCAGCTTTTTATGTTGCCTGTGAAGGGGAGGTTAACTCCTTTTTACGAAGCACTTGGGAAGGAAGAAAGGCTATTTCAGCTGAAGAACCCTGCACAAGAGCAAGAAGGTAGGAGATGGCCAGGAAGGGAGATAGTGGCTTTTAGGAGCAGGTTTCCACCTCTCAAGGAGGTGAGGCTTTGAGGTGGCTCATTTGGGGCTGATAGGCACTGGGTGACTCCCTGCCCACCCTAGGATGCTAGTATGGCAGGATGAGACACAAGGGTAGGGTTTTGCCAATCAAGAATAAGGGCATTTTTATTTCTTTTATTCGCCTCTTCATGCATGGCCTGATGTTCACAGCTTGCCTGTTAATCTCCCATCCAGAGATCAAGCCTGGTGGCGGGATTTAGGATTAGTAATCCCTGGATAATTCAGCAGCTGGAAAGCCTAAGGTAAATTCCTGTTTTTTAACGGGTTCTTTTGAAGTCTTGTGGCAGAGCATTCACTGCCAGTGGGGGTTCTTCTCTCTCTTGGCGATGGTGGGAAGTACATTTACAGAGGGCTCCTGGGTGTGCCATCATGTATGTTGATGCAGCAGAGCCCTTAATTATCTCATCAGATTTTCTTTACCTAGTTTTTGATGTGATTGAGTGTTCAGCAAAGTTGCTTTAATCCCTATGAAATCCCTTATGGATTTGGCAGGGTGTGGCCTTGACAGAGATGATTTTTTTTCCTTCCTTTTTCTCAGTATCACAGGTATGTGTGTGCAGGTGAGTGGTTGCCTCACATGGCCTGATGCTGAACTGGACCAGTGGTTGGTCAAGGAGCTGGATGGGGGATGTTGAACAGTTGCTCTGGTGCTGTATGTGAGCATCACAATCTGGCATCTGGCTCTTGTGTGTGTTTACCCTCCTGATGCATCTCTGAGATGGGGAAAAGAGAAGATCTAGAGGAAAAACACCTTCTTGGTAGGACTGTGGCATGTTTAAGAGCTTTCAGCTCAAGCTCAGGAATGCAAAAAACAAGGTTTAGAGCAGCTTTTTTTTGTTGTTGTTGGAGAAGTATGGTCTCTGCAAGGGCTGAAGGGCTCTGCTTTTTATTGCTATCAGCTGGCCAGAGTTGTCCTTGTCTTCTCCATGGTGGAGATGATCCTCATTTCAAGCCTTGCAGCCCATGGACTCTCCCAGCTCATTTTCCTGGCTGGTAAGACATGATGGTTTCCAAAGCCCTGAGGAAATATTCCCTGTTGGTGTTGGATTTGTCTTGGAGCTGAGCAGTGAGGGAACACTCAGATACCCTTTGGGAGCTCGGGGGGTGGGAATGGGCCTCCTAGACAACAGGATGGTGGAGGGGTTTGGTTTCCCTTCCTGCTGCTTTTTATTAGAGGGAGGCTGTTGTGGTAGGCAATGCCATCTGCTTTTCTGTGCTGAGGGTTTTCCCTCTTCCAGACCCAGTATTTTAATTCTTTGAAGCATCTTCAGCCTGGGATGGAGCACATGTGGCCCTGCATTATCCCACCAAGGAATGTGACTTGGCCAGGGACTGCAGCTGGGATGAGTCCCTCTGGGTTTTGTTAAGAAAATGGGTGTCTCCTTTCTCACTGCAGTGCCATGCATCACCTGGAGTTTCTGTTTCCAAGCCCTTGACCCCTTGGCTTGTCCCATACTTGAAGGGGATCAACAAGCCAAAGCATGATTTCCTTGTGCTCGGCTGGAGCAGCGAGAACCCCACCTGCTGGGTTGAGTTTCTCTCCCTCACTTGGGACCTGCCCAGTTCTACGCCTCTGCTCAACCTGGAGGAGAATGAAAGCCCTTGAGGAGCTTGTGGTTAACAGGCACTTAATTGATTCTGAATAATCCTGACAAGTTTTTGCAGTCCTTGTGGTAATCACTTCTCTTTCCAACTGAATAGCTCGGGCTAGGTCTGTATGGATGCCAGCTGTACATTGCTTGGCTGCATTCTTTCATTTCCAGCTCATACTTTCCTTTTAACCCTTCCAATACCCACTTCTTTGCAGAAGCTGTGAATGGAGATGGGTTTTTCAACCTTGTCTCCTTGAGAAAATTTGGCTTTGAGCAATCTGGTCTAGTGGAAGGTGTCCCTTCTGATGGCTGGGGGGGTTGGAACTGGATGATCTTTAAGGTCCCTTCCAACCCAAATCATTCTATGATTCTATGATAAGACAGCCTGTTCTTCACCTTCTCTAGGACTGTGTTCAGAGAGCCTAAGATGTGGCAGGGGCTTTTTTTCATGGCAGTGTAAATAGATAAACCAATTGATTTTTTGCACCTGTATTATAGAATCACAGTGGTTGGAAAAGACCTTTAAGATCACCGAGTCCAACCATAAACCTCACACTATCAATTCCACCTCTAAATCATGTCCCTGAGAAACTCATCTACCTATCTGGAGTATTGCATCCAGGCCTGGAGCACCCAACACAAGAAGGTGTCCCTGCTCATGGCAGGGTGGGGTTGGAATTAGAGGATGATGCTCTTGAAGTTCTTTTCAACCAAAAGCCATTCTATGATTTAATGATCATCTTAGTGGCTGTAGTGGTTGGACTGTCTCCAGTAGTTCCTTGTCCTTCTTGAACTGGGGAACCCAGAACTAGACACTAATCCAGGTGAGGCCTCACCAGGGCCGAGTAGAGGGAGAGGAGAACTTCCCTTGACCTGCTGGCCACCCTCTTAATGCACTGCAGGAGGCCATTTGCCTTCTTGGCCATGGGAGCACGTTGTTCATGGTCAGCCTGTTGTCCCCCAGCACTCTCAGGTCCTTTTCCCCAGAGTTGCTCTTCAACAGGTCAGTTCCCAACCTGTACTGATACCTGGGGTTGTTCTTCCCCAGATGCAGCACTTCACACTTGCCCTTATTGAATGTCATCAGGTTTCCATCCTCTCCATCCCCCTTCTATGCAAAGCCTGGAAAGGGTCAGGAAGGGAGCCAGAGCTGTGAGCAATTCCTCCCTCATGCTCTCGTGTCATTGATCTTGGCTCAGGCTGTTCCCTCTGCCCCAGGGGAGCCTCCAGCCCTGTCCATAACCCTTGTTGCTGGGCCCAGCTGCAGCAGGACCTGTGGAACCTGCTGCTCTCCAGACCACAGCCAGCTCTGACACGCAGCGGCAGAGCGATGCTGCAGCAAAGCATCCTTCGTGTCTCCCTCCCTTTTGTGATCCCTGCCCCAAGTTCAGCATCTCTGGGGCAGCTGCTTCCCACACCACGATGTGAGACCCTGCTGCTGCTACAGCCCCCGTTGCTGTGTCCGTTCCTGTGTCCTCCCCATGGCCGTGTCTGTCCACGTGTCCGCTGCTACAGCCCCCGTTGCTGTGTCCGTCCCCACGTCCTCCCCATCGCCATGTCCATCCCCGCATCCTCCCTGTCGCTGTGTCCTCCCCATCGCCATGTCCTCCCCATCACTGTGTCCGACCCCATGTCCTCCCCATCCCTGAGTTCTCCCCATCACTGTGTCCATCCCCGTGTTCTCCCCATCGCCGTGTCTGCGCATCATCCCCATCGCCATATCTTTCCCTGTGTCCTCCCCATCACTGTGTCTTGTCCCCATGTCCTCCCCATCGCCGTGTCCCCGTGTCCTCCCCATCACCGTGCCTGTCCCTGCATCTTCCCCATTGCTGTGTCCCTGCATCCTCCCTGTCACCCTGTCTGTCCCTGTGTCCTCCCCATTTCTGTGTCCCTGCATCTTCCCCATCGCCCTGTCTGTCCCTGCATCCTCCCCGTCACCCTGTCTGTCCCTGCGTCCACCCCATCACCATGTCTGTCTCCGCATCCTCCCCATCGCCGTGTCCCTGCATCCTCCCCACCGCTGCCGGTGGCCGTTTGCCTCCATTTTAGCTCTTTCTTTCCCAGCTTCCCCCTGTGCCGTGGCTGGGAATGGTACAACCCTCCCTCCAGCACCCTTTGCTCTGTGGATGTTGCTAGAAGGTGAAGGCATCAGCGCAGGCTGCAGCGGTCGCTGCCAGCCCCGAAACATCCCGGGAGAGGGAGCGGAAAGGACGCGGTGAGGAGGCTCGAGCTCAGCTCCAGCCCAATCCCTCCTGCTGCTGCTCACAGGGTCCGGCAGCATCCTTAGCCAGGAGCCATGACCCAGGGGAAGGTAGGTGGGAGGCCAGCGTTGGGATGATGGGGTGTCCTGCTTGCATAATTGTTGCGTGTTTAAAGAGGGGAAAGTGGGTTGAAGGGAGGAGATTTAAGGAATAAAACAGTTGCTGTGGGAGCTGGGTCCCTGGTGTGTTGGACGTTGAGATGAGGGTGTTTTTTGGCAGAGGAAGGGGGTGCAGGGCTGTGTCGTTATGGGGTTGGAGTCTGTATTTCCTTGGAGCTCAACCCTGCTGTTGGACCTGTGGCCGTTTCCTCCACCCATCCTGGGTGTCAGGGAGCTCAGTGGGGTGCTTGTGCTTTCCCACCCATGCCCCCAGCAGTCAGCACTTGGCACCTGCCCTAAGTACCTCCTTCCTGGTTCAGGGAGTTGTGGATTTTTGGGGTTCTCCGATGCTCAGAGACCAGGGTTGGGGATGGGGAGGGGGGTGGTTTGTGCATCCTCTGGCATTACCATGTACCATTGCCATGACAACCATGCTGGAGGCTGCCTGGATGCAGGCAGCACCCTCCCTCTCATACCTCCTCAAGTATCTCTGGGGGTCTTGCAATGATATTTGCCACCCAAGGGCTGTCTAATAGAGGACAAGGTGAGGACAGTCCCCATGAGCTGGCAGAGGAGATGGCACAGTTATCCTGATGCAGCTGGGTCTGCTCGTGGTGCATATCCCAGCCTGGTACCCTCACTTTATTTTCAAGGGCCTGTTACACCTTTAATTTAAGATCTTCTTACAGGGACTGTGCTGCTAGTTTGTCTGCTTCACTTTGGACTTCTTCTAGTTCCAGCCCCTCATCCCTGTGATCCATGGGGATGTCATCCCTGACTCTGAGCTGGCACAACCCTTTGGCAGCAAGGGCAAGCCACCAGGCTCATAACTTAGCCTGGGATGATAAAGATCCAAAGGGTTAAATGGATAATGTTCCTAAGGAGAAGCAAGTTCCCAGATAGTTGGCTCTTTGTTGGGATTTCATAGTTCTGAAGACATGGCATCCCAAATCCCTTCGCTGCATCTTCAAATTATGGAAAAGCAGCAAGGCTGAGCTCTAGATGGGCAGAGAGGAATGAGCTAGAGGAAAATGTTGGAGGGCCAAGAAGAAAATGTTCCTGGGGCCTAGCAGAAACTAAAATGTGAATGTATTTGGAAATTAAGGAGTTCAGGGTTTTCTGCCCAGTAACTGAAACCTCTTTGGAGGGGAAATTCAGAAAGAGGTAGGCTGAAGAGCAGAGAATTACTTGGACACTTTCCAGTGTTGCATATGAGCCCGAGGCACCACGGAGGACCCAGGGCAGGGCTGTGTCTCCCCTCAGACCTGGTTGCCTATAACTTTTCAATCCCTTTGACCTGTCAGGTGTTTTTTCCATCTCTTCCTTCAATCACATCAGAGGATGCTCCTTCCTGAGGGTCTGTTGTCAGTCCACAGGAGTTGCTGGATGGCCTTCCTTTGGTTCCTGGGAGCCAGCAGAGAGAGCCCCAGACCTCTCCCTGTGTCGGGTTCTCATTGCAGGGCAGTTTCTGTGCTGTTTTTACAGTTTAATCTCTTTTTTCACCCCCCTCTCCAGCTCTCTGTGAACAATAAACCCCCCAACTCCGAGGGGCAAGGGGAGAAGAAGGACAATGCCACAGCTCCACCAGCTCCTCCGACCTACGAGGAGGCAACAGCAGGAGAAGGGATGAAGTCTGGTGCTTATCCTCCTCCCCCATCAGTCCCACTCCACCCCAGCTGGGCTTACGTTGACCCCAGTAAGTTCTCTGGTGGCTGCATCCAGGGTGAGCCCCTTGCAGAGGGGGGAGAGGGGTGCAGAGATTCCCTGTATGGGGTGTAGAGTAGAGGGGAAGCAGCGATGTGGGCCCAGTTTGGTCCATGGTAGAGCTCACTCTAGAGCTGTAGCTATAAGCTATAAGTCTATATCTATATGTAAAAGCCATTTTCACTCAACCACTATACCATGCTGCCTTCCAGAGGTGGGACTAAACTCCAGTGCTTTGTCCCTGTTCTCCTTCCCAGTTGCTGGGATGGGAAAAATCCCCTCTCCCAGTTTGCTGCACTGGGCAATGCCACCTCCCAGGAATGGGGAGAGTCCTGGTGCAATGCTCCCAGTTCTGCAAGCAGCATCCCCCCCCCCTCCAACTCCTGCCCAACCCCAGCTTTCAATGAAGCTGCTGAACTGGCAAAATCACTGTCACTGCATCAGTGATGTCTGGCTGCTGTGAGCTGGTGTTTGGAGCCAGTGGAGGTTAAAACCCGGCTGGACTTGAAGGCTGAATTGTTCCAGCATTGGTCTGCGTGGTTGAATCCTCAGCAAACAAACAGCTTCTCTTCCCTGGGTGCTGCGTGTGGCTTCTTGCTTGGTTGTGACAAGTGGACAAAGGCTTGACTGTGCCCAGTGCAGGGGAATGGCTCCCAGGCAGCAAACTGGGATGGATGCAGAACGCAGTGGCCGCAAGTGAGTCTGCTGAGGTGGCCAACTGCTCGGTCAGCACAGCTTGAACTGGAGAGAGCACTGGAGGGACTGGATTTAATGATTCCTGAGTCCTCTCTCTCTCTCTCTGCTCAGTCCCATTCCTCTGCTGTGCTTTGCTGGCTGCCTGTTCTGCCCAGTGGGGATGGTCGCAGCTGCAGGGATGGAGATGTTTAGGGAAGGGGAAAGAGCAAGCTGAACCCCTCTGAGATGTGTGTGCCCGTGCAATCTGATGGTTTCACAGGCGTTTCCCATTGTTTGCCTTCAGGGGTCAGAAAAAGAGGCCATAAATAATGTCCCAGCTTGCTGTAACAGCCATCTGGGTCTTTCTACTGTCATGATGAATTAGGATGGGTAAAGCCCAAATGGGTTAGGATGCTGGTATTTTGGGTATCCCAGAGGATTTGTTGAGGTGATGCGTCATCTCTTGTCCCCTCCCTGACATGCCTAGTGGGATTTCCTCTCTCCAGCTGGGAACTCTGATCCCTGCTGTTGTTCCCCTCTGATTTCATGTCCTTCTCCCCTTTCCCTGCCCTCAGCCACGCTGCAAGCTGTGGCTCCTGTACCAGGGTCTGAGAGAGGGACATGCCATGGGTCTGTGTCTAACAGCTTCTAGGAGGTTGGAAGTAGCTGGAGAGAAGCGACATGTTTCTGGGGTTGCTTTCTTTAATAATGGGACACACTGTCTTGCTGTCTCAGATGTGGCCGTGGGTGGGTGGTGACAGATGCTGAGGACACTAACCAGGGAGGAGGAAACCCCCTCCATTCCTCCGAGGCATTTAGGTGCCTAATTTGGTGTGTAGATGCCTTGATTGCTTTGACACAGGAGGCACTGAAGTGTCCTGGGGATACAGGTGCTCTCAGCCTGCGTGGGTGATGACAGATCTTGCAGAAACGCAGGGAGGATGCTCTGCAGGAGTTTCATCTCCACTGAAGCGTAGAAGGCGGCACAAGAGATTTATTAGGCACAAGAAAAGCACACGGGATTTATTTCCTGCCAGGGGCATCTTTAGGATGAAGCTTCTGCAATAAGAGCAAAGCAGCCTTTGACCAGGAAAACAGAAGAAATCCAGGACCAGAGCCTTGACCTTGGCTTTCCTGGTGTCTGCAGCCTGTCCTCTGAGTTTGAGAGGGTATTTCCTCCATCTGCCTGAAAGATCTGAGTATCACTGAGGGATCTGAGTATCACTGACCTGAAAAAGCTTTGAGAAGGAGGAGAAGCATCTGTCAAACAGGCAGGGACAGGAATGTATAGCTGGTGTAATCGCATAAGCCTTTATTGTATAGGAAACCCAGGCGGGGAGGCTGGAACACGGAAGGGGATATTTGCAAGAGAAGCAAATAGCACAGGGGGCTGAAGCACTGAGACAGCTGAGGGTTCAGTATTTTTTTTTTTCTTCTTTTCTGGAGCATGAGGTTCAGGAGATGGAGAAGGAGATGGAGAAGGCTGCCTTTCATATCTAATTCATGCAGCTGATCTTAGTAAGGAAATGCTGCTGCTTTGGGTTTCTCCTCGCAGCGCCCTGCCCTGCAATATCCTCACTGGTACCTTCATCCCTGACAGTCACAGTCTGGCACAGTCGCCTTCGTGGCAGGCAGAGGTTTTCTGATGTTTCTCTCAGTCTCCTTTCAGGCTTGCAGAGCAAACTGATGCTTTATGGTCCAGCTTTCCTCCTTGCCCATCTGCAGGGAAACCTCAGCAACAAGAGCTTGTATTACAGAGCCCTCAGCAAAGCAGGGCTGGGTCATATGGCGTGATGATTTCTGGGGGGAGATACTTTCAGCAGCAGCATCAGCATTGGGGTGGGTTCCCCCCTTGCTGCTAAACCATTCTCCAACTTCATGCATGGAAATCAAATTCAGGGCTGGACCTCATGGAAAAGCTGGCTGTAACAAGCTTCTCCCAGAGGAGAGGGAACACTATTGACATAAGACGTGATGCAGCCACAGTCTGAGCTCAGGCAATTACAGAGCAGAGAGGGAATCCTCCTGCACCAGAGCTCCTGATGGGAATGACCAAGGTGCTGAGTCACGGCTCCCCTTGGGGATGCTTTAATATTCAGTGAAAGGTGAGCAAGGATATGATACGAGCTCTCTAATTGCCATTAAAGTTACAGGGAATTAACTCTGAAGTCCTTGTTGTGCTGGAGTTTGAAGAAGTGGTTTCCTCATCTCTTCTTGGAGATGGTCCTAATAAATGCAGGAGTGGGAAGGGAGCAGAGGGCGTCTGAAGGATCTGGGGGATCTAGCATGCCTCTGTTTTGCAGTGTAACAAGAAAACCTTGAAATTTGGGTCTCCTGAGCTGTAGTCAGTCACTGGGGTCAGATTAGTGCAGCTGGGGAGGGAGCTGGGTGATGGAACCTGATCTGTTTGGCTTCTGCTTCAGGCACGAGCCCGAGCTATGGCAGTGGTGGGTACCCGGGGGATACAGAGATGCTCACGACCTTCAGCTGGGATGACAGGAATGTGCGCAGAGTGTTCGTCAGGAAGGTAAGGAGCGAGTTTCTCCAGGCTCAGCCTTTCCCTCGGAAGGCTGGAGACCAGCTTGGAGCCCTTGGAGGGACCTGGCTACAATGACTTTTTAGAGAGTCTGCAGGTCACCCATGGGCTGCCTTTTGTTGCAGGTTTATGCCATCCTGATGGTCCAGCTCTTGGTCACTGTGGTTATTGTGGCTTTCTTCACCTTCTGGTAGGTCTCTTGTGTAGCAGTAATGTTTGCTTTGTCCCATGTATGACCTGCTCCTGAATTACCTGGTACTTTGGGGGTGGTGTCTGTTATGTAGACACCTGATTTTTTTTATTTTATTTCTTTTTTTTTTTTTTTTCCCATGGGCTCCAATAGCAAAACAAAACTGAGGGAATCCTGAGAGGTCCTTCAGTACTTCTGCTACCTCTTCTGCATGTCCTCTGGATGGTGCATTGTCTGTTCTTGGTGCTATCCCCAGCTTGCCCTTGAGTATTATCTGCTGTATTTTTCCTTTGGGAGTTATCAAGGCCATCAGATCCCAGCCCACCTCAGCTTCAGGGACTGGATTACCTCCTCTTGCAGAAGCAGATACCCCACTCTTGAGCAGTGTCTGTCCCTAGCTTGGATGACTGAGAGTTTGGGGCATGTGCAGCTCATGTTGCCTTCAGAATAAATAATGAATCACTGTCAGCTGGAGGATTTCAGCTCCTTAATCACTCCTCAGAGAAGGCAGTGGCTGTTCCCCGAGCAAGGGCGACTGTAATTGATAACAACAGGACCATCTTTCTGACTTGACAAATTGAATTTCTTTCCACCTGGTCAGTCTGCCAGGTAGATTCGGCCGTGTTTTCTTTTTCACATACCTCATGCTGCATCACCCCGTGTGTGTTCCCAGGTTTAATTTAGCAGCAACCTGTGAAGTGATTGGCTTTTTTATGCTTTCTGCTCAGCAACCATTTTCTCTGTCTTACAGCGAGCCGGTCAAGGGGTACATTCAGACGCACTCTGCCTGGTATTGGGCTTCCTAGTGAGTATCTCTGTCTTCTCCTATGGCCATGTGTGTTCCAAACAGCTCTGGATGTGGCTGTGGTGATGTGGAAACACTTTCCAAACACTTTTGTATCTTGCATGTAAAGAATTGCAATATCAAGAGAAGGACAACAAAGCTGGTGAAGGATCTAAACCACAAGTCTGAGGAGGAGCAGCTGAGGGAACTGGGGTTGTTGAGCCCGGAGAAAAGGAGGCTGAGGGGAGACCTTCTGGCTCTGTCCAAGTCCCTTGGAGGAGGGTGGAGAGAGGTGGGGGTGGGTCTGTTCAACCAAGGACCAAGGGACAGGACAAGAGGAAATGGCCTCAAGTTGTGGCCAGGGCAGTTGAGATGGGATGTGAGGAAGAATTTCTTTGCTGAAAGGGTTCTGAGGCATTGGAAGGGGTTGCCCAGGGCAGTGGTGGAGTCCCCATCCCTGGAGGGATTTCAGAGTGGTGTAGACATAGTGCTGAGGGACATGGGTTAGTTGGGGACTTGTCAGTGTTGGGTTCATGGTTGGACTCGATGATCTTAAAGGTCTTCTCCAATCCAGGCAATTCTGTGTGATTCTGTAATGTGTGCAGGGGGAGCTGGGGAAATTCATGGATAACTCTGAGGCGAGAAGATAGAAAATCTCACCTAAATGAGTCTGAGACTTGAGATGTGCTAGATATCTGCAAATACTTTCAAGAAGAGGGCTTGCTGCTCTACAAACCAGGGTCAAAGTAAACACGAGTATTGCTTGCAGAATAAAAACAGGGTAAAACTGGGGTTCTTCCAGGAAAACAGTGCGGAAACCCAGATGTGAGACCTGAAAGGTGTTGAGGGTAACTTACAGGATTCATTCTGAGCTTCTCCCTTTGAAAGAAAGGAGATTTCCTGGGTTTACATCCCATGCCTTGATGTGTGACAGATGAAGGAGGATGCAGGCAATGTTAGGTGGAGGGGGATGCATCTGGAGGGGCTGGGATGTTTGTGGGGTTGTCATGTCTGTGTCTTTATCATGGAGCTGCTCTCAGTGCCCAGAATTTGGGATGCCATTCATTAGTCAGTCTAAAAGGTCAGCTTGGTGACAGTGTGGGCTGTGCTTCCACGTGTTAGTCTGTTTGCAGTTGTGCTGGCTTCCTGGATGCTGCTTGTGTTAGTGCTGCTAATTAATCGGGATGAGTGTGCGATGCAATTGTCTGTGAACAAGGCTCTGTGAACTTGGCTTTAATTAGTTCACACCCAAAGCATGAAATGTGTCCAGGCCCAGAGATGAGACAGCAGCTTATATAACTTAGAAAAAAAAAAATAGAAAGAGAGAGCCAAAATAGCAGAAATAGAAGGGAACTGGCATCTGCTTGCCTCTTTGACCTTAGAGGAAAATAATGTGCTTCTTCTTGGGCAGTTGGTAGAGTGGAGAAGCAGCGTTGCCTTGTGGGGAGACAAGACCAAGCTCTTCTCATATCTGTGCTTTGACCTTTGGGTTCACCTCCTGGAGCTTACTGAACAGTTAGCATTTATATCTTCCAGTAGGAGCAAACCCATCTCTGGCCAGCTGGAGGTTGACTCTGTACTTGAGGAACTTAAATTTTGTCTGTCCCTTCACTTCCCAGTGAACCAACTCTTCCCTCCATCCCTGTGTCTCCAATTGCTTGTCCTGATCTGGGTCTGGATCACTTTCAGACACAGAGACCTCAACTCTTTCTGTATCTCTGTAAAATAGGAGTGGGTGCCCCGAGGGTGTCTCCCTACTGCTAGGGTGATGGCTCAGTGGGAATAAAATGAGAGCAGATGTGCAACAAGTGGTGGAAAGGAGATGGACAACTGTAATGGCTCTCTTTGCTCCCTACGTGCTTTCTTTCCACTTATTCAGCCGTGTCCACTCCAGCTTTCCTGACTTCCCCATGGGAGAGCAATGCTCAGTTTTATCTCTGGTGTATTTATTGTGGCCCGTGGGTTTTGCCGTCATGTTCATTTATTAGACCTAAGGTGAGTGGCTATCGTGCGGCCATCGGCATGCTTGGAAGCTGCTTTTCCCCCCCAGGCACTGGGTGAAAGCAGGTAAGCAGGTTCCCACTGTGCCACAACCCATCAGCACTGTGGAAAAACACCCGGGCTGCGTGACACCCAGAGCAGAGAGAGACCATCCCTCAGCTCTTGGATTGTTGGGTTTTTTTTGCTTTGCTGAAGGGTCAAGTCATGTAAGATAAATAACTCTCCTGTGAGCTGGGGATGGCTTGTGCAACAGCATATTAGGCTTGGGTCTGCCAGCTTCCTCCCTTGGGTCTGCCTCCTTGGGTCTGCCTCCTCCTTAGAGGATCCTTCTCCTGTTGAATTCTTCCTTGAGCACTGGTGCTATAACGTGGGACTAGTTCCCTTCTCCCACACAAACTTTCCCTCTGGTCTTAGGCAAGTCATTTTTTACCAGTCCTGTGAACCTTGGTTGCTGAAATCCCAGCAGGATACCTTGATCCCACCAAGCCAGGAAGTGCCTGGAAATGAGGAGCAAAGTCTGGTCACCTCTGTATGAGCAATTCATGCACTGATGAGGTATCAACAGCAAATATATTCCAGGTGCTCCATCAATCCTGGAGCTGAATGAAACCCTTACTCTTCTCTAAAACCATCCTTCAGGTTTCTCAGGGAGGACTGTGTTGTCCCACCTTGGGGACTGGTATAAGCAAAACAGGCAGCTGTGGGCAGAAAACAGCTTTAGTGAGAGGTAGTAACTGCTTCGCTTCCTACCCATCCTCAACTTCTGGCATGGTGTTTGCATTTTAAACAGTGCAGCAGAGCACTGAGACTTGGCTGGAGACTTTTCTCCTGCATCAACACACAATGCTTGGGTTTTCTTCCCTAAAATGCTCTTTTTTTTCTTCCTTTTTCTTTTTTTTCTCTTTGCAGTGCTGTTTTCTTTGTGACCTACTTGATTCTCGCTTGCTGCTCCGGACCCAGGTAAAAGATTTTCTTTTTGGATTTGTGACAGCTCTGTGAAATGAAGGATTCATATTTTCCTCTTATTTCAAGCATGACCAACAATGTTGTAGAGCTGGGAGGGAGTCAGGCTGACACAGTGATGTAGGGACTGTGGTGGCAGCTCTATTTTCAGGCCTGATGCAGTTGTGAGTTGCTGTAACACAGCGTTAAAAACCTGAACTCAAATTGTGACTGGAAAGGAAGACACGTTGCAGCCAAAAGCACATTGCAGTAGGGCTCCAACTGCTCATTATCAAATTCTGCAGAGGATGGTCATCTGTGCTTTCACTGGAGCAGGACACTGATGACTGCTTTGTTGGAACACCTTCACCTTTGTTGGAGATGTTTGCCCTCTTGGTCTATGAGCACCCCAAATGCACTCTCATTCCCAATGGGATCACTGTCCCCTTGCACCATTCCTGCCATTCGCTGCACAGGCCATTAGTTATCACAGAATCACAGACTGGTGGGGTTGGAAGGGACCTCAGGAGATCATCCAGTCCAACCCCCCCTGCCAAAGCAGGTTCCTTACATCAGGTTGCACAGGAAAGTGTCCAGGTGGGTTTTGAACATCTCCAGAGATGGAGACTCCACACCCTCTCTGGGCAGC